GGGAAAGAGGTCCTGGGGAGGATCAACAAACTTGATGCCAATACAGGCTTTCCTGACCCAGTCAAGAACCTAAATCCATAAGCTATTCGCTAGCTCTGAATAGAACAGCATATATGGAAGGCCAAGGGCACTGTGCCAAGGAATATGACAACTGTGTCACAGAATGAGGGAAGGTACTCTGTGTGCCACCTGCTCAAGGGTGAGAGATCAGGAGAAAAGTGCTAAGGACCTCTTTCTCCCAGGGTATCCCCTACTGGTCATCGCTCTCCTGAGGAATCCTACACATTCACACCCTGCTCATCTCAAGTGTCCTCATTGCCTCTACAAGCAGACGAGCTCTGAACCTGGTTCCTCCTCCCTAGAATCCACAGCCTAAGTATCTCCAGACCTAGCCAGTGGGAGAAAAAAAAAATCATTTAGCATCATATTAATCTAAGGAAGCACTCTGCCCCCAGTGAGTGAAAATAAGCTTTTTACATTATTATGCAGAGCAATTTTAATCCCAAGTCCAGAAAGGCATTCTGGCTTTACCCTTAGATGGTCCATGGCCTATCTGGAATTCTGGGGTGAATCCCCACTTTCCCCTTGGCAGATAATACTAGTAGAAAACATTTCTTTTACCCATGACACATAGTACAAGTGGGGAGGGGCGAAGGGCAGAGATAGCTCTACCCCCTCAACTCTGAGTAGATCCTGGGACTTGTGAGTTTTTCTCTTGCTACAGCAGAAAGCTGTAGAAGGTCCAAACAAAAGGAAAATAGTATAACTGACTCACTTTGCTGTACAGCAGAAACTAACACAACATTGTAAGTCAACCACACTCCAACAAAGGAAATTTTTTTAAATGTATTTTCCCTTAAAAAAGGAAAATAAAAGCAAAAAGGTAAGATAAAGTCAGGGTGAGGATAATATACAAAATGCATTCAGTGCCTCCTAAGTGCCAAATACCAATGAAGCATCCAATGATGAATGAAACAGAAATGGCCCTGCCTTGGTGGAATTAACAACCTGAGAGAGAAGATGAATGACATAAAGTAAACAACAACTGAGTAATTACCAATAGTGATAAGTCTATGAAGACTATGTAAAGGGGTGAGATGGTGGAGAAAAGCAGGTGCAAAGCAATGTGGGGCTGTATGGACAGTCATCTCTGAGGAGGAGACATTTCAGCTGAGACCAAAAAGATGACAAGGATTTAGTCAGGAAAGAGTTGGGGGAAGAGTTCAGGCAGAGGAACCACATGCAAGAAGCATGGCTTGGGCCATTTAGAGAACAATGAGGGGGGCTGGCGTGGCAAGAATATGGTGGTGAAGAGAGCAGAGTGAGATGTGCTCTAAGAGGGGCCTTATGAGCTATAGGAGGGAGTTTGGATTTTATTCCATGTGAGAAAGGAAACTACTGTATTAGTGTGTATTAAAGTAGGAAGATGGCATGTTTTGCTTTGTGTTTGTTTGTTTGTTTTAATCTGGATGATTTATAGAGAATATAGTAAAAGGCAAGAGTTGAAGAGAAAAATTAGAGGGCTGTTATGGTGGTTCAGGCAAGAGATGGTGGTGGCTTAGCCTAGGGTGGTGGCTGTGGCCACAAAGACACGTGATTGGACTCTAGATACATCTTAGAAGTGGATATGGCAGAACCACATGAGGGACTGCATGTGGGGGGGGGAGTGTCTGCGGTGAATGATTAGTAGATGGGAGGGCCATTTACTGAGATGGGGAAGGATGCAGGGAGAGGGGTTTACAGAGGTACTGCTTTAGTTAGGGAAA